GAATGTGATTATTAGTCACGCCTACCACAGAGAGACCTGAAAACCAGGCACTAGAGGAGACAATAAGACCGGACTGTCCAGCGGCCCCAAGAGCACCCGAGTGCCATGGCTGCTTTCCTCCTGGAGGTTTCCCACAGGTTTCAGAAGCTCCAACGTGGCCCTCCAGGATCCTCACAGCTCACCTCACCCACCTCTCCTGACCTGTCTCCAACACCTTCCACCCAGCCAGGCTCAGCCCCTAGCGGTTCCTGGGTACACTGAGGGCCTCCCGGGCCCTGTGCCTCTGTACCTGTGGCTCTCTGCCTAAAGCTTCGTTCTGCCCCACCTGTAGCTGGCAAACTCACGCTTATCGCTCTGCCTCTGTACAGAGGCCTGCCCTCTGGAGGGTCTTTTCTCACCTGCCATTTTGACTTGGGTCCCTGCTCTGTGCTCCTGAAGTAAACCAGGCCAACCCTGGCCAGTGCTCTGTATGTTCACAATGCAGGGTACCCACCACTATTCCAAAGAGCCTTGAGTGCACAGACTTGTCTTGCAGCTGTACCCGAGAAGCCAATACACATGAGGGGCACAGCACGAACTCCACTGGTGATGGCCAATAAATGACTAAAAAGCAGAATTGGGTATGGAACACAACCTATGAACAGTACCTCATGGTTCTGTCCTGCTTAGACTGTCAGAGGCATTAAGTGAGCATAAGTCAATAAAATGTGAACACTCTCCCTGGGAATGAGCTCCTGACGTAAGCTTTTCACTCCTGAAGCCCTTTGCAACCCCAGACATGTATACAGTACAGCCACACATGGCTCCTGCCTGCAAGATTGAGGCTGTTTGCTCCTTCTTACAAACTCTTACCAAGTCAAAAACTCAGAGCGGCAGCCTGCCATTGCAGTAACTCAGTGTTGTCCATCATGCTGTCTTTCTCCCCAAAGCCTGGTCCCTTTTCATCTGGTCAGCACTCTTCAATAACGCCCAGAAGTTAGCTGTACTTGTCAAAAACAGACTTCTGCCTTTCAGAGTTTCAAGCAGTTTCTCCAAAACTAAATCTAGCTGTCTTCTTTAACTGAGTCTAGGAATCAGTATCTCCTAGATTAGAATGTTTCTCAGGAAACCTTTTCTACTCAAACCTGGTTTGAGATTGGATACTCAATTTTATTAATCAGAAAATTCTCAGAAACTCATTCCTTCTTTGTATTTCTTAATAATCATCTTGCAAAGAAACAGAATATATTGTTTGAAAAAGCGTGAACGCTCAAATTTCAGGCATTTTAAAGCTTTACAAATCTCTCACTTTTCTTTTAAAAGACCTTACTGTTAACAGTCATTCTCCTCTAAGTATTTCACTCAAGATTCTTAAAAAAAGATTATTAAGATTCAGTATTTAATAGAAATTATAGTCATTAACCTTAAGATACAGGCGAGTGGGTGGCAAGTAAGAATCCCAAGGTTCTAAATTTAATCAAAGTCTAGTTGAAGGAAAATGTTAAGATTTGTCATAATATGGAAAACGCTATTCATTTATAATGAAATTTGATAAAGTTTTAGGAGTGCATTTTAACTAACATTTGAGTTTTTATTTTATAGAATGGCTTGCTACTAAGAATTAACCTAAGGAGGGAAAAAGGATGGGACACCTCAGATCCAACCTGAAAAACACTCCACAGCCAAAGCTGGAATCATCTAGAAACAAAACAGTGACAGTATGAGATGATAACCTACAGAAGAACCTGAATATCCAAACCTCCATGCTGACATACACACACAACTGAATACGTGAGTAAATGGGGGATAGAGCAAATACTTCTTAGGTAAAATTCCAAATAATACATGTCAATGAATGAGGGAAACAAGCAGTAACCACTGGAACACTACAGAAGCACAGGCTGCAGGTAAGACGCAAGCGTGAATGCAAAACTCAACGGAGAAGCAGAGCATTTGCAGAGTCTCAAAGCATATTCCCCAAAATTCTAATTAATTACTGTAGTACTTTCAACCAATGAGCCCAAATTCCTTGATACTCCTTCCTCCAGAAGGGGAAGCTTATTTACCCTGTCTTTGAGTGTGGGCTAACCCTAGTGACCATTTGTCACTCTTATACAAGGACCAGAGGCATATAGAAGAAAACTAGAAACTTTAGAGAAAATGCCAGATATCACCTAATCAAGTGATCAATGTTAATGTTACCAGTAATAGGTCATGTTAGGATCCTGAGATAGTAAGATATGAGGTGGTAAGGGGGCCATTTACTTCTGTAGTTCTCTTCTCAGAAATCTTTCTCTTCTTTTTTTTCAGAGATGGGGTCTTGCTCTGTCACCTAGGCTGGAGAGAACTCGCACAATCATATTCCATAACAGCCTCAAATTCCTGGGCTCAAGCAATCTTCCATGTCAGCCTCCTTAGTAACTAGAACTACAGACATGAGCTGCCACGTCTGGCTAATTTATTTTTTCTTTTTCTTTCTTGCTTTTTTTTTTTTTTTTTGTAGCAACAGGGTCTTGCTATGTTGCCCAGGCTGGTCTTGAACTCTTGAGCTCAAGCAACCCTCCACTTCAGCTTCCCAAGTAGTTGTGACTATAGGTGTATGCCACCACACCAAGCTAATTTGTCTTCTCCAAAATCTACAACCCCAGTTCAATCATAAGAAAACAGACAAATTCAAATTGAAACACAAACTACAAAAGATCTAACCAGTAGGCCACAAAAGTATCAAGGTCATGAAAAACAAGGAAGCCAGGCTCGGTGGCTCAGCCTGCAATCCCACGCCTTGGGGAGGCTGAGGTGAGTAGATTGCCTGAGCCTGAGGGTTCGAGACCCACCTGGGCAGCGAGACCTCATCTCTATAATAAATCAAAAAATCAGCCGGGCGTGGTAGCACACGCCTGTAGTTCCGGCTACTTGGAAGGCTGAGGCGGAAGGACTGCCGGAGCCCAGCAGGTCGAGGCTGCGGTGGCCGGGAGCGGCCACTGCACTCCAGTCTGGGCGACAGAGCGAGACTCCAACTCAAAAAAAAAAGAAAGAAAAACAAGGAAAGACTGACACCACCAGGAAGAAGAGACTGAGGAGACAAGATGACCAGCAACAGAAGGTAATGGAATCTTGGATACCATCCTGGCACAACAGCAATAGACATCAGCAGAAAAACGAATGGATCCAGTAAAAGCCTGTGTTCTATCATGCTAGACCAACGTTGAATTTCCTACTTTTGACAAATGTACTATGGTTACGCAAGATGTGTGATCTTTACGGGCTTCAATAAATCTAATAGTATTTCAGAATTAAAAAGTCAGTCTATCTGTCATCCCTAACAGAACAAACTGTGATATTCTACCTAAATACCACCATGAACCTGTGGATATGGGACAGGAATATGTGTGTCATGGTAATTTCTTTGTAATTCTTACCTGTGACTTTTTTTTAAGTGTTGGTATTTTCTGGGTTTATTCTCCCTTGTTCCAAGTTCTAAGCCTCAGCCTACTTCATTCCACCTCCATAATCTGCATGGTTTCCTCCAGTAGCTCCAGGTTTAGTGGTTTCACTGCCTGGATCAAGACAGCTGTGGTTCCAGACATAAAGCGGTTGCGGCCAGGTCTCTCCACCGGTTCTGTGGATGAGCTCAGGGTCCACAGCAGCTTGGTGTGAGTTCTGGTGATCACACATGCATCCACGTTGCCCCCGGAGCCAGGTTGCCCAGGATCCCTGCGGTGACGGCTTCCACCAGCAGCCCTTGTGTGGCCTCCAGCTTCCTGTTCAGCTGGAACCAGTCCTCCGGCACTGCCAGGGCAGTGTCCTGCCCAGAGCCCAGGGCCATGAAAGGCAGATCGCTGCAGGGGCCGTGGGGATGCAAGCTGAGGAGCTGTAGTCCATCAGGTCTACGCCATCCACGAACAGTGACACGGTCACATGGCCCTGATACCTGTTGGCAGGCAGGCGTGGTTGGCCACCGACTATTTTTTTATGATTAATTTTATGTTACTGTGGTTGTCATGTGGACCAAATACCAGGGGTGACAAAAAAAATGTGTACACATTTTGAGAGATGTTATCTATGAATTACTTTTAGTTTGCCATAATCAGAAGTGTCTGGACATTGATGGTAACCACTTTGAGCACTTCTTGTAATTGCAGAAGTCAAATGTGACTTATGCTGGGCTCGGTGGCTCAGCCTGTAATCCCAGTGCTTTGGGAGGCTGAGGTGAGGGGACTGCCTGAGCCTGCGGGTTTGAGACCCGCCTGGGCAACTTGGCGAGACCTCGTCTCTACAATAAATCAAAAATTAGCCGGGCATGGTAGTGCATACCTGTAGTTCTGGCTACTTGGAAGGCTGAGGTGGAAGGATTGCTGGAGCCCAGAAGGTCGAGGCTGCGGTGGCCAGGAGCGTGCCATTGCACTCTAGACTGGGTGACAGAGTGAGACTCCAACGCAAAAAAAAAAAAAAAAAACATGACTTGTATTCATCTACAATTTTAATACAGTTTTTTCCTTTCTTAAAATGTGTATCATTTTTTGGCACACTCTGTATATAAGATAGTATCTTTCTCCTTGTGAAAAATTTTGGTTTTTCATAGTAATCTGTTTATTCATTATCTATAATTATTTAATCTATATTATCTATTATATTGATTTATTATATCTATATACCACAATACCACGTGTGACTTTATTCTTTTGAAAAATAATTAAGAGGCCAAGCATGGTGGCTCAGCCTGTAATCCCAGCACTTTTGGGAGGCTGAGGCAAGAGGACTGCCTGAGCCCGGGGGGTTCAAGACCAACCTGAGCAACTTGGTGAGACCTCGTCGCTACAATAAATCACAAAAGCTAGCCGGGCATGGTGGCGTGTATCTGTAGTTCCAGCTACTTGGAAGGCTGAGGCGGAAGGATCACCTAAGACCAGCGGGTCGAGGCTGCAGTGGTCATGAGAGTGCCACTGCACTCCAGCCTGGGTGACATAGTAAGATTCCAACTCAAAATAAATTTTAAAAAAAGAAAAATTAAGAAATCCAGGTGAAGAGGGATAAAAATATTTTAATAGTTGAAATACACTGGTAAATTGAGTAATTTACATTGCAGTACTATATAGATACACATCATTATCAAATTAATAACTTTCCAGATATCTTTCTAACCGTAAATCACAAGTCCTTGAAAACAGTATAGAATTAACATGATGAGATGCCATGGTCACACAAAAGTAGAATGCGAGACTTGATGGCTATGAAGTATTTGTAGTTACATATGCCTTTGACTAAAGAAAATAAAAATTCAATCAAAATGTACATATGACATGCAATTTAAGTAATATTTTAAATATTAAAATATTCCAATGAAATACACTTCTCTTAAGAAAGGAAATTCTTTGACATTTAAATAAAATTTGAAAACCAAATAGTAAAAAGAGGCAAGAGATAGTAATAAGAATCAATTTACCCATTTGACAGTTAAAAATTGATGTGAAGTAAAAATAGTGAAAGATAACAGACAAATATATTATTTTAGGTAATTCATTTATAGTGCCTCATCTTAAGCTATAAATAGAATAAGGATTTTTTTAAATATAAAAACTATCAAAAAGTATCAGTGGAAAGACGTGACCTCTGTGAACCATGTGGCGCAGTCAAGTGGAGATGCCGTGGTCAGCAACCAGGCTCCGTGACAGGAGTAACTGTCTTTCGTAGCTGGGCCACAGAAAGTTCCATAAACAAGTGTACTATCTAGCCAACTCCCTTCTGTTACCACAACATTCAATCCGTACCCATGGTATTAAGTAGACACTAGAGATTTGGGGGGCAGAAGAGGGGAGAGCGATTGTTAAGAATATTCTTGGAAATGTGTGTGCACATCACAATGTCCCACGGAGCCAAATTCCTTCCAAATTGATAAGCAAGCTATAGAATGGAGAAAAGAGTTAGCAAACTTGAAAAGGTACGATGTAGATTAAAAATACATCAGCCTTAAGCCTAAAAATTATTTACTGATTTTAAGTAAAGCACGTATTCAACATTCACCCAATATTTATTTAAGACTTATGCAGCCAGCATAGTCCTAAGCACTTTATATAAGAAGACAAAGTCAAATAAAGAGATTTATAAATTTACAAGTAAAATACAACATGACCAAACAATGCCCAGACCTAGGCTGCATGTAAGCAAGCATCACCCAAACTAGAAATACAGACAGTTTGGCCACAGTCCCATTCATTCCCTACTTGACCAGGACCTCCTGGAGGAGCCCAGCTTTCTGTTGAGCTCTCCAAGGGAATTCAGTGTAGCCAGTCCATCCACTGGCATCTGGGAGCCATCATGCAAGCCCCTCTGTGTTAGATGTACTTTGCACATCTAAGTTGGCATAACTTTTACCTAGAGTCATCTGTAGAAGAAACTATACATTCTTATCACAATATAGATGATTTTAAGGGATTCCGGAATCATTCCTCAATTTATTTCAAAATCAAATTTTTGAATCACTGAGTGAGTTCAATGTTGAGAAAATTTACCTATTAGGTCAAAAAAAAAAAAAAAAAAGCATCTCTGATCCTTTCCACAGAGTGTTTCCTCTCCAAATGATAGTTCTCATCAGGGTTTCTGCCCAACAACTGAGGTCATAAAGCCAAGAGTTCAGACACGTGACATATAAGTACCAGCGTGGTCACTGAGTAACTAAAGAAAATGCAGAAACTACCAACTTAGAAAACTTTTCAGATAATTCACAGGAGGCAAAAGAAAGACGAGGCTCCAACAGATTGTTTAGATATAGAGTTATAGAACAGGGAAAGCTGAGAATAGAGAAGGGTGGCAATAAAATAATGTATACATTTATAGTCATGAACAGTAAAGAAACAGTTCAGCTGGCTATCTAGCTTTACGGGGGCTGGCTTACGGGCAACACTGCTAAAGTGTTATGGGGAATTGCAGATCCACCCACCAGGGCGAGCAATTATTCTAACTCTCCCACGAGAAAGCAGAGACAGAAGCAGAGGGAAGTTAAGGGACTCGTCTTGGGTCTGTGCTGGAGCAGAGCTGCCCAGTCTCTCTGTCTATCTAACAGTGCCTCTCTCCCCTCTATTCCTGTACTTTTTGAAATGCATCCTGTTTCCAGGAGGGTAATCAGTAACACGTGCTTGCTTTCAATTTATCTTTCCTATTTGAAACAAACAGGAAAAAACTAGCAAGGGAAACTCAGAAATCTATATGGAGGGTTAGAACTCTATTAAAAATACTAAAAATAAACCTCCAGTGAATTCCCAGAAAGAAGCCCAACACGCTGTGGTCACGAATCCTGGGGAATAAACCTCCATAATGCCGTTGATGAACATAGTATTTGAAGAACTGACTGCCCAAAGACTGGCATAGTCCTTGTCAGGGAAAAGCTGGTTACAGCTTCTGTCCCCCCTTCCTTCGGCAGGGACCTGTGTTTATCTCTACCTGGGAATTTACTCTGCAATCCCATCCATCCCAAACACCAAATCCAGTGCAAGCCCCGGGCAAGAAGTTGGTTCAGCATCAAATCAGTCTTGCCTCTGGTCTGCCACTGACTGTATTCTGGTTATAAAAAATAATTGATGATAATAGTGATGAAGACGATGACAACAGCAACGATGATAGCAGGTGCTACCACTCATTTCATACTTAACCCAAACAATAACCCTCCAATCTAGGCATTGGTGCCACTCTACAGATAACAAAACTGACGAGGCCATAAGGGGAAATAGCTTGCCCAGCTAGTAAGTGAAAGAGCCCTAATTCAGATCTAAGGCAGTCTAGCTCCCAGAGGAGAACAGGCTATCTCAGGAGACAGGACATTCCTGATCACTGGAGGTTTCAAAAGGGGCTGGGTGTCATTCAGCAGGTCTGAAACTCAGTGGGGACCCAAGCATTAAATGTGTTGTTGGACCTGGTGAACCAAGACCCGCTGCTCCACATCTTTTAGAAGCTGGCACACAGAGGGTAGTTAATAAATGAAAGCTATTTTTCTCTTGTCCTTGTTTTTGTTTGTCTTATCACAATTCTAACTTCAAGCTCCTCACCAGGACCATAGGTTCACAGTATTCATCTTTTGCACAATGGTTTCTTCTGCCCATATTAGACATGTTTTATAATACCCAAACCATAAGCTTAGCCTTTCTACACCTTTCTGCATAACTGCATCTCTGAACAGTGCTGACTGCCCATTTCTACTGGCGTTTTGGTACTCCTCTCCATATATTAACTAGCCCCTGGCTAGTGCCAAGCACTTAGTCTTGATTTTAATCTAATTCCCAGTCCTAGCCTCCCTGGCCTCTCCTTCTCTGTCATTTCTCCAGTCCTACACCCTCAGATTTTGTGGCAGTGAAGTAGGGTGAGACCACAGTGTTTTAGGTGGACATTTAGCTTGCTCTCATTAAATAAATTAAGATGCATTTTTTAACAAAGTGAAATTTTTAAAAGTAGTTGTAAAGAAAATTGATATGATCATTAACCTCGTTACAATAAATGTGCTTGATTCCGTAGGATGAGATGCATCCTTTTAATCCCAAAGTTCAAGATTTCTTAGAAATGCACAGCAATAATATCTACAGTCCATTCACCATCGAAGCTAAATATACGGAATTATTTAGAAAAATATACAGCACCTCTTAATTATTGAGCCGTGATGTGATTTTCTTCTAATCTTAAAGAGAAAATTAAGAAAAGTTAAATGTTTACATTATAAAGAACATATTCTAATTTCCTACAAAACTACAAACAGTAGTAACACATATGGGTATTTGCTAGTCTAAATCATCAAGTAGAGAAACAACAAGGAACAAATAAATATAGTATGTTTAAAATAATGTAATACAGCCTTGTGTGCAAAATAAACACATTAATAGTCATTTTAAAATGTACATAAGACAACATATCAGTACAGTGGTTTAGTAAGTCTGAATATTTTACCATAAGCCTCAATTAAAAATTTACTTAAGCAACAAGTTTATTATGTCTATTATTCAAAAGGACTTAATTAGCCCCACAAATGCTAATGAGAAAAACTCAGAAAAAAGGAATCTCGCTTCATTTAGTTATATATACAACAGACAGTTATTTTTCCTTTAATCACCAGATTGCTTATAAGTTAGTTATCTTCTATTACAGAAATTTACCTTTATGTTCTACAACAGCTCCATATACTTATTTAAATGTTCACTTTCATTTTTGCAGTGATCATCACTGAAATTAATAAGAAACTTAAAATATCCATGGGCCATAATCACAAATAAAAGTTAAATTTTGTTCTGGAATTTCTTTTCCTGTGGGGGTGGCCATTTCAACAAATGACTCCAACAGAGTACCTATACATGGTTCACTGCAACTAAGTAGTACGTAGGTTGAGTCACGTAAACTGTAAAATAAATTTAATGCTTTTCCATAAAACATAAAAATACACGTTTAGAGAAAATAAATACCATGACTTCACCTACTTTTTCGTACAGTCTTTGTTTGACTGGATACCATATTGACAGCTTCAGAAGGCAGACCAACATATACTCCACCATAGTTTCTAACGAAAAAGAAATCAGACCAATTTAAATGATACTTTCCATTTGCAGGAAGCAACAGAAGCACAGACAGGTGTATATATAACTATAATTATACAACTGTTAAAATAGCTCATGATTTTTCAAAAGTAGAATTTAGAATATTATTGCCCTTGGGAATATAATTGGTTTTCTAAGTTAAGAAGAAGAAATTAAAAAAATGAAAGAATACCATATCGACTTAGTAGAATTTTTAGTTATTTTACTTTTAATGAGAAAGGAGAAAAGAAGTTGGGATGTTAGTATAGTAAAAAATATCAGTAGAGTGATGTTACAGTTCATCAATATCTTTGAAGAATTCAGAGTGGCCAACATGGTATTAGGTGTTATGAACACACAAAGACATTGTACTCACTGATATGGAGGTATGAATACACAATGAGGGGGAGAGAGGTAAGGAGGAGTGAGTAGAATGCAGCTTACCAGAGGAGATGCAGGAGGACAGAAAAGGAGAGGGAACGAAGGGGAGCCACCCAGCTAGGGGAACAGCACACCCAACGGCCACAGGATGGACCTTAGCACAGGCCATAGGCACAGGACAAAAACCAAGCTTGTTGAAAGAAGCAAAGATTATGAATCCTGGGTAGTTCGTTTTCAGATCACACACTCCTACCTGTATCCTCTGTGCCAAAAGTTTTCCTGGTAGAATCTGCATTTTTGGTAATGTGCTACAGTGTGTTAAATCCATGAGGTATGGCCAAAATTATTCAAACTAAAGCCAGCTGCAACACCAAACATACCTCCTCTTGTCATCTTCTGTCATCGATTCTTCTGTTCTAAAAGGTCAAAAACACTTGCTCTGAGTCACTTGGCTACATAGTCAGAGACTTCATTTCTGGTTATGAGAAAAAGTGGACTGCTGAACTAAAGCCGATTTTGTTTATTTCAAGTGTTTCCATCAGATGTAAGTGTAAGACCCGAAACCATCCAACAAGTATTTCTGTTACACAGTAATCTGGCTCCACTGTATACACTAAAAACTTGATAACTGTCTATATACCAAGATGTGCAAGTCCAGCACATGCCAAAAAGTCCAACAGTGAAACAAAATAACAAACTGAGGGCAGCTGATCAGAAAGAAGCCCTTGTCCTGTGGTGCCGCCTGCTTCCTGGAGTGACAGACAGGCTTGGGTGAGCTGCCTGTCTGTGCCTCGCCTGTAAAATGAACAAGTCGGCCAGATGATCCCCAAGGTCTCTTCCGGTTCTAACACACTATGATTTTGGGTCTATCACACCAGTTCAGTGGCATAACTATAGGTATTTAAAGATTTCTTTGGTACGGAGAGTTCATGCCAATTTGATTTCCTTTTATCTAAAAACATAAGCCATTTTATACATGATCTACTGCAAAGAGAGGAGGAAATGTTTTAAAAAGGAAGCTTTTAGAGAGAATCACTACTTTAAAATGCACACTCTTTCCTTGCATAAGAAGCATCTGCATTCTACTAGAATTCCTTAGCATATTTCTAAGAGGATCAAAAGGCTTTCCTTGAAGCACAAGGAGAATACGTTACTAAATACGTTACTTTTCTGAAAAAAACAAAAAACAATGTTCAACAGTACCTGGCTGAACTCAACCTGTAATGCTGAGGAACTGCAATCAAGAAGAACACAGCCGGGGAGCCTCAAAACCTCTTTACAGAGTCCTCCAATTCAGAGACTAACTGCTGCTTCACCCACTTAAAAGTTCTAAGTATTTCAAATGTGACTGTACACAAGGCAGGGGCTGAAAAAAACCAGCTAGCATTGTTATAAGAGGCTGTGCTTGGCTTCAGTGAATTTTTTTCTGGAGATTCTTTCAAAGCATCTTCCCATTTCATGATGGGTGATTTACAAGAGCACCTTCCCACACTGCTCTGAGTGTTCAGCAATTGTTGACCAAAAATAGCATGAACCCGGTGCCCCACCTGATCTCGCCCAGAGCAACTTTTTTTGTTTACCCTGGAAGAAAAAAGTCCTCAAAGGGAAACATTTTGATGATGTGGAAGAGGTGAAACAAAACATGACAGAAGCACCAAAACCCATCAAAATTGACAAGTTTAAAAACTGTTTTGAGCAGTGGAAAGGCTTCTTGATTGGCATAATAAATACGTAAGAATAAATACACAATTTTTTATAAATAAATTCCAGTTTAGTTTTCTTTGTGTCTCTCTCACATGTGCATGAGGTTTTTCTTTATTGCAAAAGCTAGTAAATCCAAGTCAATAAACAAGGAAAGTATAGATTTGGCAATTATCTGGTGAACATGGGCCATGAACAGCTAACACTCCAAGAGAGTGCAAAATCCACCCTGACATCTAATTCATACAAACAGAGCAAAAATTCACCAGACAGTTATTAACTTCATTTACCTCTTGCTAAAGTCGGATCGTTTTTTAATTTATATGTGTCAAAGTCATACTGTATTAGAAATAGTGTTACGCTTATTGATGTGGCATAAGAAAGTATTGGTCACTACTTTTAATTAAAAAGGATTTTAGCCTTTAATATAGATAATGGGAAAATGGTGGTGACAAACTTGTTCAAGATTATTAGGACTGCTTGCTTTGGTCCTGAGGGACTTATATCACCATGAAATAATTTTTGAAGCTATATATAACTAGTAGGTTTGGACACATACAATGTCTCATATTTTCTGCCACAGCTATTCTTTTCACAGACAAATTCATATGTGTTTATTTTAATTATTTCCCCTTTTGCCTAATTGTGTTTAAGGATATATTCATGGTTTTAAAATATAATTTAATGTTCCCAAATGCAAGAAGAGAGTAATTTATTTCATTTTATTAAATATTCAACATCCTAAAACCCAATCTGGGTTCTCCATTATAAAATTAATCAACAACTTTACACATCTAGTTTCCAGTTGATCTATCACTGGAAGTTTTTTGACTTTCACATCTACCATTTGATTTTTATAGCTGCCATGTTTATTGGATAATAAATTAAGCTCCAGATATAATACAAAATCTTTTAAAATGCTACTTATAAAGACTTACAAGATGTCCGTTATTTTAAAACTTTCTAATGAGTTACAAAGTCTGCCTTTGTATATATACTCCCATGTATAGGACAGCTACTTTATCTATCCCTTTCACATGCTTTTCTCCAACACCGAGGCTGGAGACCAGGACTCTGTAGATAAAACTGGCATCATTAATGAGTCCCTCCTGTGTGGTAGTGCTGGGGGCCATGTAATCAATAAACATTCAAGACCAACAAGCAAGACCAAAATTCAAACCCTATCATCTGACACCAAAGCCACGCTCCACATTGTAATCCACCACTCTGCCTCCCAGGTAGAAAGATGTAAGAGTCAAAAACATTTCCAGAGACAGTGGAAGTGGGAGCCACCACACCACTCTTGCAAAAGCAGCTCTGAGCATCACCCTACCGCTCAACCTGTTTGTGTAGCTATACCAGGCACCTTGCTAATACTATTATATTATTTCACTTAATCCTCATACAATCTTGCAAGACAGGTATTAATCACATTTTAAAGACAAATATCTGAGGTCCTTATCTGAGGTCCTAGAAGGTTGAGTAGCCTGACTGAGATTATGAAGCCAAGTCATAGAGCCAGAATTCAAACCCGAGTTTGTGAGATTCCAATCCTGCTTCATAAGCTGTGGGCCCATGGTAATTTGTATTAAATAAACACATACCTCCCCACAACTAGAGCACTCCAATTTTTATTATCCCACTCAAGTAAAGAAGAAATCAAGATGGTAGAAGAGTTCTAGTCTGTTTCATCAGCTTTAGCAAAAACTTCTAGCAGGTGCTGAAGATCATCAATCAATGTAGAACTTGTCCAGTTGCTACATAACTCATTTTTATGCAGGTACAAACATTGTCCTGATCAGCAGTTACATTCAAATCTATTCACCCAACCAGATTCAGACTGAGAAAATGGGGTTTGGTCTAAACCAAATTTCCTTGTGGGAGGATAGATACAAGCCATTGTGTTTACCTGCCCTTCTGGTGTCCAAGAAGACAGCATCCCACCAGCAGGGTGACATGGCCCTGTCCCAACTGTACAGGGTACAGTACAAGGAAGAAGAAATGAGTCAGAAGCAGCAATAAAGATTCCTGGCAAGAGGCAGGCCCAGAGACGTGAAGGCGAAGGACTTGATAGGCTGATGGAATTGCCTCAAGATTATGAGTCTAAAAAATGTACCTTCTGGGCCAGTAATCCCAGCACCTCGGTAGGCCAAGGCAGGAGGATTGCTTGAGGCCAGGAGTTCAAGATGAACCTGGGCAACATAGCGAGACCCTCCTCTACTAACAAAAAAAATTAGGTTGCTGTAATTCTAGCACTTTGGGAGGCTGAGACAGGAGGATCACTTGAGCCCAGGAGTTCAAGGCTGCAGTGAGCTACAATTGCACCACTGTGCTCCAGTCTGGGCGACAGAGCCAGACTTTGTCTCAAAAAACAAACAAACAAACAACAGTAACAAAAATGCACCTTCTGGTGTGGGGGACAAATTTCCCTAAAGGTCATTTCTTAGGCATTATCCTCAGGCAGATCAAAATTGGGATGTTAAATTATTTATCTTACCGCTCAGAAACTTAGCAAGACACTTTAAGGCTTCAGGATTCTAATCCTTGCTCTCAGGTTTTGAATAATGCCCCAACTGTGTAAACATCTAGAATACCCCATTAGTAAACTATTTTAAGGCATCATTGCACTTTTTTACCCTCACAAAACCTCAAAATTTTACAATATTGTGTTATTATCCCACCTTATTAATTCATTTGTTAACATTTCCTTACACACAGAATTGCCAAAGAGAGATTTGGATGAGCACGGGATAACCAAGGTTGCCAGAGAGAGTTTGTGTATAATTCCAAACAAAGGCAAATACATTTTACATTTTGTTATATCCATGCACATCACTGCAGGCACATGCAGATTTCTGTTAGGTTTCAGAAGTAATAGAACTAGTATATGGTCCTTCTTCAGCCTTGAGGATCGAGAATGTTCAGTGGGGAATGTCCAAGCTCGGGCAAGAATACCCACAACTATTGTAAGCTCCTGCATGAGCCACTCTGGTCTTCACTGAAGATGTGGTTATTTTTCTTTTCTATCACTACAGCTCAAGTGGGAGGGCAATGACCACTGTGTGGTCTGTGACTATGATTGCCTGCAGAATGCAAAATGTGTCCCTCGACTCAGTGAAGGAAATGGGAGGGAGAGCAGAAGACAGAGTCACCCCTTCCCCAGTCTTGTGAGAACAGCAGCCACTGAGAGTTCAGCGGCCTCAGACAGAGGTGGCATGGCCCTCCTTCCTGCTGGTACTAATACAGACCAGTGAGAGCAAAAACTGAGATGACTTTACCCCCTAGAATCTTCCCGTGGAAAGAAGTGCCTGAAGACTAAACTATTCCCTGCTCAGAAAGAAAAACAAAGCAAAAATGAGGTCAATTCACAGTGGATGAGCTGCAACAGAGGCCAAAACTGCCCCCACTGCACTTGATAATACTCTTTGGGAGTTAATTAGTCCAAGTAGCTCTATAAACTCAGTTTACCCATAATCTCGTTCCCTCAGAAAAGGAGTGAGTGGACACATTATCTACCAGGACAAATCTCCTACTGTCATAATCCTCTCCTAAATAACAGCCTTCTACCTGGGAGTGGGGGACAGAATTCGGGAGTCAATGCTTAGACACCCACAAGCCAAGATACTGAAAAGTGGAAGCATGAGAGAAGGCACCTGGGGCAAGAGCACCCCTTAATCTACTATAAACGGGGAAGAAGGTTGAGAATAAGGCTTATACCAAGAGAAGCAAAATACAGAGTTACAGGAGACCACGTACCACAAACCAAATCACCTAAAAACAAAAAGTAAAAGGTGACTTCAGTTTCCCTCCCACCTCCTATGCCCTGGCCCCAAGAACTGAGGTTTATCAGGACTTCTCTCATTTCACCTATTATGGAGCCAGAGGCAGGAAGCTATGCGGGGGAAGGGAAACAAACACAGTCACCAGGGGATCAGGGTGATGGCCTGATGCCTAGAGGCATCCCCAGGCAAACTCCGCTCTCGCTGGGGCACCTGTGCAGATGTGAAGCCTTCATTCCTCACCTCCAGTCCATCCGCCAACCCCCACGCCGTGACGCTGAGCTAGGACTCCAAAGGACCTCGCTCTCTTTTGCCACCCGGCTTCTGGTTAGGCTCCACTAACAGGGGATGCTATGGGGAGCAACACACTGCTGGAGGGAAAGGGGCCGCCCTTTCCGCCTCGCTTGTTGTTCCCGTCAGCATCACCCCAGCATCCGGTCCCAGTATCTGGCCTTCTTTCAGGACGCCCAGATCAGACTCCCTTATACTCCTTTTCTGGCCACTACAGCTCAAGTGGGTGGACAGTGGCTGTGTGGCCTGCAGCTGTGATTACTATGGGTTACAAAATTCAGATCCAATAGCACAGCCTGGCAGTGTCCTCTCCACAGAGGTCTGGTCCCAGCTCCTTGGGGTCCCTTCTGGGGCCCCTTCTCTGTGACCTTGACATGCCAGTGGCAGCCAAGCAACACTGTCCACTCAGAGTCTGGGTCTTTGCTCTACAGAATCCCTCCTCTTGCTCCAAGCTCCTCAATTTTGATAATCCCAACCTCTTTCCTTTGTTACTCCAGCCTTAGGCATGACTGCTACTTCCTGCTATTACTATCTGTTTCCTTTCTTACATTCCTGATCCTCTAAGAACTGCTTAACCAATTCCTGAAAGTAAACTCTCTGTTACAATAGTTAATGTGGTTTCCTTTTCCCTAACTAGACGTTAACTAATACATTACTTACTAGCGGGAATGGGTTTTGTCTCCCATCTCTGGATTAAACGTGTCTTACCAAAATGTCTAAAATACTGTGATTTCCTGTTCATCAGGTCCAACCACTACAATGTCATCGATGTACTAAACCAGTATGATATGCTATGGGACTAATAAGATTGAGATCCTGCAGAGCTGAGACTGAGAGAAAGAGGGAGGAGTCTATGTGGAACAGAGGCAAGACTGTGATGGCATCCTGTTGGCCTTGCCAGGTAAACGGCAACTGCTTCTAGTATTCCTTGTCAACTGGTAAAGAAATAAAGCATCTGCCAGGGGCTAGGGGTTATGCTGATTTTTTTTTTTTTTTTTTTTTGAGTCCAGTTTACTCCGTTACCGCAGCCTCAACCTGCTGGGCTCAAACAATCTTCCGTCTCAGTCTCCCAAGTACCTGGAACTACAGGTGTGCACCACCATGCTGAACTAATTTTTTTCAT